TGTTGAAAAGAAAGTAACCTGAAAGAGAAAAAGCACACCTTACTGCCACGGCAGGCACGCACTCCTAGCAAGGCTGAGCAAAACTGGGAGAGGAGCAGCAGGCACCGTCGAAGGGCTGGGCTGCGGTGCTTCCTGTTGTAGGGAGCTGAGTCTCTTCTGTAATGTGCTTAATTATTTCTAATTGTGCAGTCAGCTAATTACAATCATTAGCCATGCTTTAGTTCAACAGGGCTGGGAATTCCTTGGATTTTCTCGAGTCTGGTGACTTCCTCAGATGATGGCCTGCACTGGTGACTCCCTGGGGCTCCCAAACTGATCTGTGTGGGGCAGGTTTCACCGTGGAGTATGGGGGGACGTGACTATTCTCGGAGCCAGTGAGTCACGCGTCTCAGCCTCTGAGGACAGCAAGAGCACTTGGCTCCACGGTGGCAGGCTCTCCACGCACGACCCAGCCTCGTTTGGTCCTGGTTAAGCGTGTTTGGAAACGGGGTTATCCTAGCAGCACTGTTTGTAATAGCCAAAGAAGAGAAACCATCTGCCTGACGGGAACCTGGCTAAGTAAATTATGGCTCATCCACATAACGTCACACTGGAAAAGGAAGGAAGATGCTGCCTGTGTACTGATTTGGAAATAACCTCAAGCTGCGTTGTTAAATGAAAGCACAGGACGGTGTGTTAGTACTGCCGTTTGTATGGAATACGAGTGTCGGTTTGGGTTTGGCTGTAAATGTATAAAGACACTCCCAAAGAGACGAGGAAGTCAGTGGTTGTGTTTGTGTGAGTGTGAGGCATGGGGGCTGCGGGGCTGGTTGGGAGAGGGATGGAGTCGGGGAGACTTCTCACTGCCAACCATTGTAAAATGGATTTTTTGAAAAAAGCATGATTTATTTATTTAATTTCATCTGTTATTATCATTTTTCAGTTGGACTAGAGAAAGAGAGAGAGAGAAAGGGAAAGCGAGAAAGCAAGCCACTAGGTCCAGGAATCGAATCGCTGTTGGCCATGTGGGAGTCCAAGCACCTCAACCATCGCATCACCCCCTGGCTTGATAAAACTGATTTTTAAAAAAGTATATTTACTTATTTTTCCCCCCACGAGCTATCACTCCCAATGGAACCCTGACGCTATTGTCCACCCCATTTTAGCTGGATCAGGGCACATGAGTGCCTGGCATACTCAGGGAGGTCTCCAGACTTGAACTAGAGATCTTTCTGTATGTCCCAGCATCATGAGATGGTTGTGTTTTATTGCTGCACCACATCCATCCCATAAAGTCAATTTTATTTTTTTGAGAGATATTTTTTGCTATAGGGCATGTGTGCTCACTGGATAGACAGAGGCAGAGAGACAGAAAGTGAGAACTCACCCCAACAGAGGAGATGCATGCCGCAATCCCCTCTCCTACATTCTCCTCTTGAGACTATGGGCACGCAAGCACACCCACCCAGCGTGAGTTTTAAGCCATTACACCAACTGCTGGCCACTGGGTCTAGGACTCGAATTGTGGTCGACCACATGGGAGTCCAGTGACAGAACAATTATGCCATCTGCTGGTCCCCCCAAATAAATTTTTTTAATAAGCAAATAATGAGAGGCAGCAGGTGGCATAGTGGTTACATCACTGGCCTCCCACGTGGCTGACTCTAATTAAGAGTCGCAAACCGGGGGCTTGAAAATCACGTCAGGCACATGTGTGTGCATGCCCAAGATCTCAAGAGGAGAATACAGGGGGATTTTGGCGTGCCCATGCCCCCTGGAGTGGGTTATTTCTCACTTTCTCTCTCACTGTCTCTGTCTCTCTCCAGTGATCACATGCATCCTAAGGCAAAAACCCTCCAAAAAAAAAAAATCAAATAATAATACTGGAATGGGCATGAATGTCCATTCAGGGGCCCAAATCAAGTCCCTGCCACTTGCCCCAAAAGACACAAGGTTTTGTGAGAAAAGACTCACTGAGGCCAGTGCCAGGGAGAGGGCAGACCTGAGTCCATGGCTGTCTCCCAGTACTGGGCAAAATACAAGGCTTGCCTAGGGGAAGAAACAAAGGGCAGGTTATCTAGGAAGCTTTTCTTCCGCAGAATCACAAGGGGACTGGCAGCCTGAGGGAGTGGCCATCACACTTCCTGGGGGACAGTTTCAGTCTACCTGGGCCTGAAGGGCAGGGCAGGACAGGGTTGAATGACCGGTTTCCGTTTTCTCCAAGAGGCGTAAAGATAAGGAATTGGTTATCAAAGCACCAGAAGCAAATGGAGTCAGTCAGGACGATCCCTAGGTCCTGGTTTAGAACGAGGTGTGCCTTTGTAATTTCTTAAAGTTGATAAAAACATCTCAGACGGTCATGTGAAAGGGAGCCAGTGGAGTCTAGGCAGATTTTCCTAAGGTTTAATCTGTTAAGATGGACTCTTAAAACAGTGTAACATGGTCACTTTGGTTCTCATATGATCCAGTTACAGTAAGTGTATTTATTTTTTTAAAATAATTATTTATTTAGTTAATTCCACTCATTAGTATTATTTTTTAACTTGCCCAGAGAGACACAGAGAAAGGAAAAGGGAAAGGGAGAAAGCAAGCCACCAGGTCTGAGACTCGAACTGCGGTTGGCCACGTGGGAATCTAGTGCCCTTAACCACCATGGCACCTGTCAGCCCCAGTAAGTGTATTTATTACCTAATGAAATCCTTAAATAAATTAATTAACACCCCCCCTTTACTTTAGGTTTTTGCAGTAGGGCACGTGTGTTGGAGAGAGACAGAGACAGGGAGAGGGAAAGTGAGACATGAACCTCCAGGTGGGATGGACACGCCATAATCCCTTCTCCTCTATTCTCTCAGGATTTTGGACATGGTTACACATACCCCCTCCTCCCCATGATTTTCCAGCCACAAGGCCCATGACTCAAACTACACAGATAGACATGTGGGATCCACTGTTGTAACCTCCACACCACCTGTTGGCTTGGTAAGTGTATTTATTTTAGCTTTGGCTATAGGGCGTATGTGCTTACCAGAAAGAGAATGAGAAATCACTCCCCAGAGGGAATGGCCGTGCTGCAATCCCTCCTCCTGCATTCTCCTCTTGGGATTTTGGGCACACACACCCAGTGTGATTTTCAAGTCAACAGGTCTGGGACTCCAATCACCCAGTTGGCACGTGTGGGCTCATTTTGCCTTAACCTCTGCACCACCTGCTGGCCCACATGACTGGTTTCAAATGCCACAGAGTTTTACTTTGTTATTCCTAACTACAAGTTTAATACTCCAAATGGCTCAGGAATCAGTAAGACTTCTAATGTTGAAAACAATTAGGGAGTGTGGAGCATGAAAATGATAATTCTTCAAATGCACCTCAGGACATTTTCTCCCCATCTGAGAGTTGTGCTCGGTGAATTTCTTAGACGGTAAATTAAGGTGGGCTGGCCAGTGCAGTGATAATGCACCTGGACCCGTGTGAGAAAGGTCTAGGGTTTGCTTCCTGGGACCTCCCTGGGCATGCCAGGTGCTGTGCCCATGAGCCAGGCCAGGAGACTAGCAGTGGGTAAAGGTGTTGGGGACCTTGCTGGGAATGCCTTTCTCTCCTTCTCATAAAAAAAGATTATATTGTTATTATTATTTACTTTGTATTTTGTGTGAAGAAGATGAAGGAGAATTTGGATTGTGAGGAAGGTCTGTGAATGTCTGCGCAGAGAGGAGCACCCACCAGCACCCAAGTCCTAGCTAGAGAAGCCACAAAATAGCCCCTATTCTTGAAAGAAATCCATTCCCTATGCCCAGGAAGAAGGGAGCTCAGGATTCTGTTCTTCTGGGACCAGGCTGGATAAACTCAGGTCAGACGTCCGAGAAGCCAAGCTCCAAGTGGTCAACAAGGAACTGTGGTTAGGTTCACTTCTGGATTTCATCATACCAAATTACCCTGACCCCCCAACTTTAGGCATCAACATAACCCTGTCACCTTTAAATTTCTCCAAGTAATAATAGAAGCGATGTTCAAAATTAAATGTTAACATCTCCCTCCCCCTAGAGTCCCAGAAAAGGGGACAATCTTTTGGTCTGAGTATTTCATTTTAGAAAAAATTCAGCAAATTGTTATTTTTCTCTTTTCCCCAAGGACCACTAACGACTCTGGACAGAGCTGCAGACCCAGCGTTTGTAAATCATGGGTGGAACGGCCAGCCCTTGACTCCAACCTTCATTCTCTCACGGGGCAGAGTGAGGAGCAAGGAGGACAAATGTGTTTACTGGTGGTCCTCACTGGACTGCCCGCCGAAAGGCCAGCCGATTGAACCGGCCGCAGCTGCTCTGCTTCCAGCTCAGCTCCTTTTGCGGGTAGCCTGTCCCAGGTTGTCACCGAGGTGCAGCGGGCGACCACAAACGCCTCCAGTGACCTCTCTCTTTACCCTTGCTCCTAGCTCCGCCCAGCCTGCGGTGCCCCAGCTCGCGGGCTCGGCTGGTAAAGCCTCCCGTTTCCAGGAGAAGAAAGCAGGATCAAGTAGGAGGGGACGACGTACATGGAAGTGCAATCCGCCCTGCCTGCCACGCTTTCCCCTTCTCCAAGGGCTTTTTGTGGAAACTGGGAAAGGGATCCTCTGCACCTAGAGGGAGAGCAGTGAGCAGGTCTAGCCCGGAACTCCTCACCCGCTCCTTCCAAGCCCTCCGATCCTTCCAAGCCCGGCACTCCCAGGCCCGCTGGGCGCCCCCGAGAGCACCAGCAGGGAAATTGCAGCCACAGAGCTGCGCGGCGGAAAAGGGCCAGTTCACAGGGCGCACGCGCGCGGCCCTACAGCCTGGCCTTCGGCACTGCTTTCGTAACTGGGGAAAAGGGCCTCTGGGAGGTGGAAAGGAAAGACCTGGGCCCTGCCGCTAGGGCGGCCTCCCATTGGCTCCGTTCGCTCCGCCCTCGGTTCCGATTGGCTGTGAGCCGGGAGCACGGGCCGAGCACGCTCCTCTACGCCTCGCGGCGTTCGGCCGGTGTCAGAGACACAGCCAATGGGATCGCCGTAGGGCGGGGCCAGCCGCGCTGGGCCTCCAGGGCTCTGGCTAGTTGGTAAACAGATGCGAGGCGCGTGCGGGGCGCTGTGGCTGCTGCGAGCACGCAGAGGCGGCGGGAAGGCGACCACAGACCTCGTTTCCTGCAGCTGCAGCCAGGTAAGGTTGCCACCCACTGGCGCCGCATGCTCAGACTGTCTGGCTTCGGCCAGAGCTGGGCTCAATGCCTGCCTGGGCCCTTGCATCCTCGTCAAATGACAGCGCAGCTTCCCCTGTGCGACATTTATTCGTCACGAGGGTCAGACGCGTTTGGCGCGCACCAGGAGCAGTGTGGAGGATCCCATCCCCATGCTCTCAGCTCGCGGGGCCTGACTTATCGCGACCACCAGGGCCACGTGCGGATCCTTAGGTCCCAGGACCGCGCCCGCCTGCTTCCGTGCCACTGCTGCGTTTCTGCCTTGCGTTCTCATGATAATGATTCTCTTCACTCCCAGAGCTCTCTGCATTGTGTCTCGGGGGCTCTGACTTCCGCGGGCTGCAGGCTTGGGTCCGATCTTTGACTCCATTGACCCGAGCCAGCTGTTGGGTTTCACAGGTGAGGGTTTTGGTGGAACTTGGAAAACCAGGCCGTTTGTGATTCTTTCCTCCGTTGGCTTACCTGAGGTCCTTCCTCCTACTTCTCTAAACACTGGGGGTCCTGTGAGTGGCTTGGGCTTAGTTCCCTGAACTCGGGCCTTTCCCTGACTCATTACCACTCTGCAGAGGCAACAGCTCCGTGCCAAACCCAGCGTGGTTCTCCTCTGTGCCTTAGGTGATGGGAATGCTACAGGGGCAGGGGCAGGGGCAGGTGAGGGTCCTGGGACCCTGCACTTCAGTGAGCGCTGTCAGGCCCCTGAAGGTGAGACACTGTCAGCCAAGGTTGGGCTGCACCTGGTGAAACAACCATCCACGATCACTTGGGCCTTGGCTGTACACGATGGGACTAAGGGGCAGGTCATGCCCAGGCCTACCTCTCTGCCAAAGGATTTGAAATGCGTTGATGCCAGCCTCCCAGTTGCCACACTGTGGATGCGTGTGCCATCCTGACAGAGCTGGCAGGAGGCTGCCCCTTTTGGAGGAAAACCCTTTTCCTGAGAACGGAGGAAAGGAGGGCTGGGGTTTTCAGGAGAAGCATCTTAAGGACCCGGAACAGACTTGATTGAGTGTGTCGTTTAGCCTGTGGACAATGCAGAATTGTTAGAGTAGGCCTGACCTCGGACACCTGAAAGGAAGAGAGCCAGGCAGTTGGTGTGTCACCCAGGACAGAGTTCCCGAACCTCTGGACAAATGGCATTTGGAACCCGTACTCCTTTGCTGTGGGGGCCTGGCCTGTGCATTGTAGAGCCAGTATTCCTGACTTCTGTCCAGTAGACTAGGGCCACCCCGGTTGTGACACTCAGACATCTCGACGTTTGCTCTGAAGGACACAATTGCCCTTGGTTAAGAGAACCACTGAGGTAAGACTCTAAAAACGGTCCCCCTGTGCTGTCAGGGGCCTCTCTGGGACCTGCAGGTGAGTGAGAGGTTCAGGCAGAAGACAGTGTTGTGCCCCTGCCCTAAACAAGCGGCAGAAGCTGGGTAGTTGGGCATTAAGGAGACCTCACCTGTGCACCTGGGACAGCCGTGAAGCCTGCCAGTGGAGATGGAAGGGAGAAACCCGGGGGCATTTGCTGTGTCTGCGGGTGCATGGCAGTGACAGGCTGGGTTTTGTGCAAAGGAGTGAAAGACTGACAGTATCTGTCTCTGGGAACTTGCAAGACTTTGGGGATTGCCCATTACGTAGGTATGGGCCAGTTTTTAAATAGTGAGCAAACTAGTTTAGGCTGCCTGTAATGCTGGTCAGGTATCCACAAGTGCCTTTTCCAAGACGATGCCTTACTCTTCCTCAAATGTTGCTCAGACATCTCTGTGTCTCATGAGGTGGGAGGGGCCAGGCCTGTGGCTTTAGAGAGTGGCTGCATTGCACACGTACTTGTGTATTCACAGGCATGATCTGCCCCTCCAGGAGTGAATAGTGCCCCGTGGACATGTGTGTAACTTGTGGGGTTCTTTCATAGTTGATTAAAGCACCAATGTCAAAGACAGCCATTCTTTCTGTGCCAAGAAAGATGCTTTACTTCTGAGTCTAGATTTTGCCTTCAGAATTTATGCCCCAAACTTCTAAGTCCCAAACAGACAGGCAGGCAGAAAAGCTGAAAAACTGTGATTATTACACAGGGCAAGGAAAAATACCCCAAGGCCCAACGATAAATTTCTCTTTCTTGTTGTTGGTTGATCCTGTGGGGATTTGTCAGGATTTTCCTGTAACACTCCTTGGTCTATTGGGGTGTCTTTTGGGTACTCTTTGTTGCCTGTTGAAAAGAATCAGGAAGGGAGGTCACTTCTGCATTCTCAACAAGAAGTTTAGAGAAGTCTATTATTGGGAAGCTCAACACTTGGCAGGATAATTTTCCACCGTCAAGAGCCGTGGACACTGAGTCATTATCTTTGTCAGTTGAAACAAGAGCTGAGTGCAAAATTAGTCAGGAATATTTAGACAGAGGGTTGTCTTGATTTGACAGTGGCATCTGGAAATAGTTCTAGCATTCCTGTTAAACAACCCCCAGGACCTTGGGATAACTGGTGGGTGTAGGGCAGTGTGAGGGTCCTGCCCCTTTCAGAATTGTACCTGTGGGAGGGGTGGGAGCCCAGGGAGATGGTTCTTGAGAAGAGAGGGGGACCTGAGTCCTAGGTGGTAGGGGGTGGTAGACCTGAAGCATAGACTCAAGAAAATTTATGTGGGTGAAATTTCCAGACTAATTGACTGGTTGGATACAGGACCAGGGCAGGGGCTGGCTAATGATGTTATTACTGAAAACAGGGTGCAGAAGGAGGAAGAGCTGTTAAGGGAAGATGGTGTTGTTAGTTTAGATGAGATGGGATGAGGTGCCTGTGGGACTATTTTTTCCCATAGTTTTAGAATTGAAATATGGTTTGCATACTGTAAATTCATGTGGTAGTGTGCAGGTCTGCAGAGTTTGGCAAATACATATCATTATGTAACCGCTGTCATAGTCAGGGTATGGGACCAGTCCATTGCCATCTAAAATTCCCCTGCGCCCTTCCTAGTTGCCCATGGACCACCGATGGGGTGAGGTTCTGGAGGTGGCTTACTTGGCTGAGAGTACCGGCCCGACCTGAGGACAGGGAGGCATCAGCAGGAGCCCAGCTGGTACAGGCAGATGTACAGGGAGGCTCGAGGGCCAGCGGGTAGGTGGAGGACGAGGAGCTGGTGAAGGAAGCTGAGGAGATATGGGCCCCATAGGAAACCCTGACGAAAATGGAGGTGGGGGCGGACTGAGGACACCCCCTGACTCCAGCAATCAGGGGTGGCTGGAGGCCAAGGCAGACAGCACATGCCGAAGGAGCAGAAAGACAGCAGGTGCACTCTGTCCTGGGGAGACGTTGGCTGTGGCCAGAGGCTGGCAGAGGAGCGGAGTCGGCAGGAGGGGTTTATATTTGGTATGTGGGGAGAGCTGGGGTGGGTGTGTGGCTCGGGGGGGAAGACCTTGTGAAAGGAGAGTGAAGACCAAAGAAGAGAGAGGTCCTGGTCATGGGCAAGGTGCTCTCCAGGGAAGGAGAGAACTGGTCAGTGTGGGAGGAGAGAGAGGGTAGGAAAGGCTGGGGAAGCGTCTGAGACAGGGACAAGAATCTGAGGGTGCCCACATTTGATGGCCCCTGTACTGGGGAAGCAGAGGTGTGCCGTGGAGAGTGAGGTGACGGGGACAGGGTGGGCTGGGTGGGGCTGCAGAGAAAGCCCGGCCTGTGCTCTGTCGTAGGTTCCCCTTAGTGCCCTGCTCCTGTCACCCTCCGAGGGGCTGGCTGTCTGCCACAGGAGTGAGCGAGTGTGAGAGTGTTAGCACGTGTGAGCGGAAGGGAGGTGGGGAGGTGTTCCCCGGCAGTCTGAGAAGGACCAGGCCTTCCTCTCACCACCTCTGCTTTGTTCACTGGACCTTCTCGGAGGTGTGTTTCCTGAGAGAGCGGCTATAGGATTTCCAGGTCTGCCTTGGTGAAGACAGCGCAGGTGGCATGGGGGTGTCTTTCCCTCACCTCTCGCTATTCTCATAGAATGTCGGGAAGGGTCAGTGCCTGAATCCCTTTGAGCACTGTTCTTTCCGGACCCCAGTAAAGCCCAGTTTTCGGAACACCCCTGTGTGCTCTCCTTGTGGACTTGTTGCGCTCCAGGGAGCAACAGCCCTGTCCTCCCCTCTGGGAACTGGGGATCATCTGGGTCAACCTTCTCTTTTTACACACGAGGAAGTGAGGAAAGGGAGGCCTAAAGGAGAGGAGCGGTGTGCCCGAGGTCACCTGTGCTCGGTGGCCGAGCAGAACCTCATCATTGCATGTGGTGTCAGGAAGTAGAGGACCCAGAAGCAGTGTCCCTGCCATCGCTAGGCTGGATCAGGGGCCCCGGGGGCCATTCACATGGAAAGGCATGGTCAGATAAAGCCCTGAGCCTGGGGTCAAGCCTGGTGTTCTCTGCCTGGCACATTTTCTGTTTGGCACTGTGACCAGCTTGGAGGAGGGTGAGAGCAAGAGCAGATTGCCCTGTGAGCCAGGTGGTTACTGTTCGACAGATGCTGGAGCAGACACCTCAGCTCTTTCTGAGACTGAAAAAAAAATCTGTGGCCCTTGCTGCCTGAGGTGTTTACAGCCAACATTTGGTCCAGCAAAGGGCTGGACACTTGTCCCAGTAGGTGTGCCGTGTCTCAGGGCAGATTTGCCTTCTGAGGATCCACTGCCTGCTCTCTTTTCTCCCTCTCCTACCGTTTCAGTCTCCTTATAGACAAGGGACGGGCAAAACAGAGGAAGCCGTAGAGTGATGGCATCCCCACGCTCCTTCCCTGCGTCTGCGTGCCCACCATGAGCGAGCTTCTCAAGGCGGCTTGGAAGCTCGTCCCACTGCGCTCTTAACAAGAATCGCTCTTTAACCAGGGGTGTTGCTACTGCCCTGTTACAGTGGTGCATGCTGGGGGGTCAGTGTGGTTGTGGACAGAAAGAACATCTTGCTGGTGCTCAGCATCCCCCATTATCTTGTTCTGGGTTATAGATGAGGGGACTCAGTAAGCTAGGGAACACCT